TTGTATTTTTGTTTGCTCGTAGGTATTTCCTCTTTATCCCTGTGACCCACTGATTGCTCAGGAGTGTAGTATTCAGTTTCCATGTGTTAGTGGGGTTTTTGCAGTTTTTTTTTATCATTAATTTCTAGTTTTATGGTGCTATGATTTGATTACATGCATGGGAAAATTTCGTTTCTCTTGCATTTACTTAAATATGTTCTGTGGACTAGTATATGGTGTATTTTAGAGAATGTCCCATGCACTACTGAGAAGAATGTGTATTCTGATGTTGTTGGATGGAACACTCTGTATATGTCTATCAAGTCCGTTTGTTCCCAGGTGTGATTCAGTTCTGTTATTTCTTTGCTGATTTTCTTTTTTGTTGATCTGTCCCTTTGTGTCAATGTTGTGTTAAGGTTTCCTGTTATAGTTGTTTTATTGCTTATTTGATTTTTCTTTTCTGTTAATACTTGCTTTGTATATCTGTGTGTCTGGAATTTGCTGCATATATGTTTAAGATTGTTATCTATTCCTCTTGAAGTTTTCCCCTAACTAGTGTATAGTGACCTTCTTTATCTCCTCGGATCATTCTTGGTTAAAAGTTCACATTGCCTGCAAAGAGAATAGCTACTCACTTCTTTATTTTGGGTTCCTATTTCATGAAGAATTGTTTTCCATCCTTTGACTTTCAGTCTATGAGTTTCCTTTTGAGTTAGATGGGGTTCTTGTATACCACATATGGTTGGATGTTTCTTGATCCACTCTGCCAGTCTGTTTCATTTAATTGGTAAATTGAGACCATTTACATTAATTGTTTAAAAGTTATATATTGGTTTATTGTTGCCATGTTATCTTTCTTCTGTTATATCTTTACCTTTCCATTGTATTTAATTGTCAGCCTTGCTTAGTGGTTTTGTCCTATGTGTATATAAAATGCCTTTTAGTATTCTTTGCAGAGTTGGCTTGATGATCATGAAGTTCTTCAGCTATTCTTTGTCATGGAAGTATCTTATTTCTCCATCCATTTTGAAGGACAGTTTTGCAGGATACATCAGTCTAGGTTGGAAGTCATTTTCCTTTAGAATCTGTAATACTTCACTGCATGCTCTTCTTGACTTCATTGTTTGTGTTGAGAAGTCTGCTGTGGTTCTCATAGGCTTTCCTTTATAGGTGATCTGTCTTGTCTCTAACAGCTTTTAATATTCTGTTTTTATGTTGTGTTTCTGGGATGGTGATTATTATATGCCTGGGTGTAGTTTTATTTTGGTTATGACTGCTTGGAGTTCTATATGCTTCATATGTCAGTTTCCATTCTCATGTTTAGGAAATTTTCAGCTATTACTTCTGTAAATATCCTCTTGATATCGTTCGTGTTGTCCCCTTCTTTTTCCTTTATCAATCTTAGGTTGTTTTTCTTTGCATCATCTTGCAGCTGTTGGATTGTTATTTTCTGATTCCTTGTTATTTTTAAAAGCTCTTTCCTTTCCTGTTCACTAGCTGAAATCTTGTCTTTGAGGTCTGAAATTCTATCTTCACTTTCGTTGAAGTGTTTTTGACAACTTTCAATGGAATTTTTGATTTCCTGAATATCTCTTTGAATCTGCTTCATGTATTCTGTTTGTTTCTTATATTGTTCATCCAGGCACTCTATCTTTTTGTTTTATTCTGCTAATTTGTTAACTGAGTCTTCTTTAGATGTGTTCAGCATCTCTTTCATTACTTTTTTCATATCTAATATGGTCATCTATCTTGCACACGTTAACACACTTGCAGTTGTGTCCTTTAGAGTAGTTTGTTTTCCTCTTTTTTACAATAACATTTACATCGACAGTTATTATTACTATTATTATTATTATTATTAACAGTTACACCACAGTTATTATTACTCCCACAGTTCATAGTACTTTTTTTTTTGGGGGGGGGAAGAAAATAAAACCAAATGTGACAAAACAAAGCAGTCAGTCAAAACAAAGGATGGACATAGTACATGATGTAAAAACAGAATACAAGGTGATCAACAATGGTTACCATAATGCCTTTTGCTACCTGAAAAAGAATTGCCTATATCATCAGGTATAATAAAATTGAACAAAACAGTACAGAACAAAACCAGTAAAACCTAAACATTGGAGACATTACTGAACTTCAAAAGAAGCTAATAGTCAAACCAGAATGGGCATTATAGTGAATATTATTGCCTCCAACGTAGTTGCCTATACCCTCAAAATTGATAATATGAAACAGAATAGAATAAAGTAAAATCAGTCAAAATAAGATGGTGAGAGCAGTACAGGGCTTCAAATAGAGTTAGTAGGAAATCAAAAAAGTTACTATAATATATCCTGCTAATTTTAAAAATTTTTTCCCTTAATTAAAAAATAATAATAAAAAAATTTTTTAAAAAAGGGCGAGATTGAGATGAAAGAGGACATAACAACATAATAATACAGGTCAGAACAGGACAATTTTTTTTTTTCGTTTTTATTGGTACCAGGGATCGAACTCATGACTGCCTGCTTGCAAGGCAGGCGCTTATGCCGCTGAGCTAAATCCCCAGCCCCAGAACAGGACAATTTAAGCAATATAATGTTTCCCCACAAGATAACCCGACTTAATGGTAGTTACTATAGTGTCTCTTTCCTTGAAATATTTGAGTACAACTTCATATACTATAGCATCAAACATATCAAGACAGTGGAAAATCATTCAAGAGGATGAAAGTATTACAAGATATTTAGAACCTACTAACAGAAAATGAACAATGGTTTCTATATTATCTCTTTGCCTATAAAAAGCTTTGTTTATACTATCACATATAATAAAATCCAGTAAGATACAACATGATAAAAGCAATGGAGACAGAAGAACAACAGTTTGTTGGGACTTCAAAACAAGCTGATATTAAATCAGCACTAGCTATTATGATGTCTTATTTTCTTCAAAATAGCTGTTCATATCATCATAGACAGTATCAAACAGTCCAGAATAAAACCATTCCAATTAATGAGTGAAAACTGTATAAGGCTTCAAAGCCAGATAATGGGGAGTTATTTGTATCATTTCTTACACTAGGGAAACTATTAGGTATTCATACGTATGAGTTTGATTTATTTCACTTATGAGTATGATCTCAAGCTGTGCCCATTTATTTATAAATATCTCAATGTGATCATTCTTTATAGCTGAGTAGTACTCCATTGTATAAAAATATCACAGCTTTTTATATCCACTTCTCAGTTGATGGACACTTAGGTTGTTTCCAAGATCTGACTATTACAAATTGTGCTGGTATACAGATGAGTGCACATATATCACTGTAGTATGATGCTTTCAGTTCTTCTGGGAATATGCCTAAAAGTGTAATAGCTGGAACAAATGGGACTTCCAATCCCAACTTTTTGAGAAATCTCCAGACTGACCTCCACAATGGTTGCACCAGTCTACACACCCACCAACAGTGCAGGAGAGTTCCTTTTTCCCCACAGCTTCTCCAGCATTTGTTGTTGGTAGTTTTCTTGATCCTGGCCATTCTTTCAGGAGTGAGATGGACTCTCAGTGTGGTTTTAATTTGCATTTCTCTAATGACCAATGATGATGAACATTTTTTCATGTATTTATTTGCCATTTGTATTTCTTCATCTGAGAATTGTGTATTCATCTCAGATGCCCATTTTTGGATTGGATCTTTGAATTTTGGGGGGTCTGATTTTTTTTTTTTTAACTTCACCATTGTATGGTTTGGACAGAAGTCCTTTGTCTGAGGGACAGTTCACTAAAGATTTTTTCCCAGTTGGTGGGTTTTCTTTTCACTATGCTGGAGATTTCTTTTGATATGCAGAAACTTTTTCATAAGAGGTGATTCCATTTATTGACTCTGGGAAGTATTTCCCATGCAGTTTGAGTCCTGTTCATGAATTCTCTACCTACTCCTATGTCTTCAAGGTTTTTACCCAATTTGTCTTCCAATAGATTTAGTGTTTCTGTTTTAATATTCAGATCTTTGATCCATTTAGATTTTAGTTTAGTACACGGTGACAGGCATGAGTCTAGGTTTAGTTTCCAGCATATGGAGAGCCAGTTTTTCCAACACCATTTATTAAAGAGACTGTCGTTCTTCCAGTGAACACTATTATAAAGGGAGTGATGGTCTTAAACTGCCTGGGCCCCCACCAGTGCTTTGGAACTCACCTCTCATGGCCTCAGCTCCCAGGGTTGAAAGAAAGTTGCTGGGAGTGCTCTAGTTAGGCCCACGAGGACTACTCAGCCTAGTTCAGTGTGTCTGGAAGCTGGACGGGCCTTTAACTGCAGCGAGGGATGAACTTAGTCTCTCCCTGGGCCTGTGCTAGTGTGCTGGAACTCACCTTGTGTGGCCAATGTCCCTGGATTGAAAGAAGGTCACTGGATGTGACTCACGCCTTCAAAATCTGCCCAGCCTAGTCCAGTGTGGCTCCAAGCTGGGTGGGCACTTATCCGCTGGGAGCAATGACCTTAAAGTCTCCCTGGGACCATGCCAATGTACTGGAACTCACCTTGCATGCCCTCAGTGACCTGGATTCCATAAACCTAATTTAATATTCATTTTTTTCTATGTAACCAGATTCAAGTTTCAAAATGATGCCTAAGTGCAATCAAAGAAAGAAAGACTCCATTACACAAATAATATGATTTGAAAAGAGATACTGCCTGTGATTTATTAAAACCATTTATTAGATATTTATCTGTTTTAGAATGGTGATTTGCAGGCTCCCTTTGAGCTGCTTTCGATATGGTGCACAAATACAACTGGGTGACCCAGCAGAGTTATCAGTGTTACTACTCTGCTGTTGTTTTAGCAATGAGTTGTAATCTAGCATCAGAATGGCTGTGTGAAATGTCTGCTCAGTATCACATATACATATGTGCAACACATGGAGTTAATATTTGAAGGACTCAACCTCAGTTCAGTTTTTTGTGAGAGGAGTTGCAATATCTCAGGCTATGAGTCTCAGTGTTCTTCAGTAAACATGTATGTGATTATTTAGGAAACAGTGGCCTTTGAGGATGTGGCTGTGAACTTTAGCATGGAAGAGTGGGCTTTGCTGAATTCATCCCAAAAGAAGCTCTACAGAGATGTGATGTGGGAAACATTTATGAATATAACTGCTGTAGGTAAGGATGGCATCATTTTCTCATTTATACAGTCAGAGAGCATTGGTTCTTATTCAGTGGGGAAATTTCATTGCATAGAATGTAAAAACATTTTGAAGACTATCTCGGGCTTGGTACGTTTATACCATGAATCTAACTGACATCTAGTGTTATAAAATAATAAAGCAACTCTTTATATTTTTATGTCTATAATTCAGGAAGAACCCGGGAGAACCAAATAATTGAAGAAAAGGCCACATATTTCTCAAGAAAATTAAGGTAATTTGCACTCACAAAAGAAAATTCCTGATGAGTCATTGTGTGAGCAGAAATATTACCAGTAGGGAAACTACAAATGAGGCCACAAGAAAGTTCTCCAGGGATGCATACAGGTTGATGATGGGATTACAGGCATGCATCACCATGCCCAGCTGCATTTAGGTAATGTATATAGGCATATGTGAGAAGAATTAATTTTGAATTTTGACAGAAACCCATTTTTATGATATCTACTGTATTTATGTGTATATGTGAGTATGAGTTATTGACTAAAAAATTCCTACCTGAAAGCAGTATTCAAAATGCAAATGAATGCTAGTTGTGTAATAAATGATGTTTTGCCACTTTTTCTTTTTTTATTAGTACTGGGATTGAACTCAGTGACCTTGCCCTTGGCTGGCAAGCGCTTAATGCACTGAGCTAAATCTTCAGCCCCTAATAGATATTTTGAAAGCTTTCATGTTTTAAAATTCTTAAAAGGCACCCTTACATATTGTAGGTAGGAATGTAAAATTGAACCAGTATGATATGATAATCAATATAAAAATTTCTCAGAAATTAAAATTAGAAGGATCCATTTGATCCAGGTGTATGCCCTGTGGTATACACTGAAAGAAATAAAAATTATCATATTTTGGTGATTCATGAATACTCAAGCTCAAAGCAGGGCATGCGTAATTATTCACAATCGCTGAGCTTTGGAAACAGCCTCGATGCACATCACTGAATGCATGGATCAAGAAAATGTGTGATATGCTGCTGAACATGATGATGCGTTTTTGTAATCCCAGCTTTCTGGAAAGCTGAGTCAGCAGGATAACTACTTGACATTCAGCCTGAGCAAATTAATAGTCAATGAGAATCTCTCTCAAAAGACGGAATTAAAAGAAAAGCTGGAGATACCATTTCATGCTCAGACCTGCATTTCATTTTCAAAAAAATTGCTAAATATTTGGCCCTAAAAAATGGTCTCATATAATTTGCCAAAAACTACAGTGTGAGACTGCATTTTGTAATGTCTGAATTTCAGTCAGAGACAGAAAGCAAATTACGTTTTTTCTTCTGTGATCCATTAAAATATAAATTAGGGAGTAAAATAAAAGAGAAATGGGACAAAATACAAGGGCTGACTATCTGGAGTTGGCAACGTGATGTGGGAAATGCGATTGTGGAAAGAAGAGGGAGAACAATAGGAGAAAGGTATCAAAAATGATCACTGTGATATACATATGTACCAGTCTCCCAGAATGAAAGTCGAACTCATGTACTGAAAATGTATAGCAGTAAGAAAAGTTCCCAAATGAGTACTTTCCTTCTGGGAATGCATGTTTTGAAGGGACCCTCCAGGGCATTCAGTCAATTCACTGTCAGAATTTCTTAGCAGGCAAACCCAAAACTTGTCCTGGTAAATTATTAGTATGGAGACCCTTTTTATTGTGATTGATAGTTTTTTCTTTACAGATGTGAAGAAGTAGGGCAATGCTATCAGTATGAAACTTGGAATCAGCAAGAAGAAATAGTCCTTTGGACTCCAGATGCCAATGTGAACATGCAGCAAGCTGCTTTCAAACCAGCGGAGAGCCTTTCTGGTAGAAAGCCCCAGATTGATCATTTGTCACTGACTGTGCCCATCGGAGCTCACACTGGACTGAAACCATATGAGTATTTGGGATTTGGAGAGAAGCTGTATCAGTATGGTGAAAATGGAAAAGGCAGTGATTTCCAGTCCTTTCAGAAGCATTCAAAGGGGAAAACTGGAGAGAAACAATATCAATATGAACAACACGGGAGAACATACTCTGATATTAGTGAAAGGACTCACCTTGCAGAGAAGACCTTTGTAGGTAAGAAGAGTCTGAAATCTTCCAGTGTACCCAGTGGTGCGCGAATCCATGATGGAAACTACAGTGAGGGTAATCTACATGTAGGCAAACAATGTGGAAAAGCTTTTATTTCTTCATACTATATTGAAGTACCTAAAAGCAGATATGATGGACAGCAATCTTACGTATCTAAGGAACATACAAAAGCATTAGCTCATCAGTTTTCCTTTCATAGTCATAAAACAGGTAACACTGTGGAGAAGCCCTATGTATGTAATCAATGTGGAAAAGCATTCACCACACAGAGTTATTGTAAAATACATGAAAGAAATCACACAGGTGAGAAACCTTATGTATGCAAGCAATGTGGGAAAGCATTCTCTACGCAAAGTTATTATAAAATACATGAAAGAATTCACACTGGTGAAAAACCTTATGTATGTAAGCATTGTGGGAAATCATTCATTACACTAAGTAACTGTAAACTACATGAAAGAACTCACACTGGTGAGAAACCCTATGTATGTAAGCAATGTGGGAAAGCCTTTACCACACATAATTATTATAAAATACATGAAAGAAGTCACACTGGGGAGAAACCTTATGTATGTAAGCAATGTGGGAAAGCTTTCAGTATACAAGGTGATTGTAAAATACACGAAAGAATTCATACTGGGGAGAAACCCTATGAATGTAAGCTGTGTGGGAAAGCCTTTACCACACAAACTTATTATAAAGTACATGAAAGAATTCACACTGGGGTGAAACCTTACGTATGTAAGCATTGTGGGAAAGCTTTCAGTACACACAGCTATTGTAAAATACATGAAAGTATTCACAGAGGTGAGAAACCCTACAAATGTAAGCTATGTGGAAAAGGATTTACCACTAGGTTCTCATTGAATGGTCATAAAAGAACTCACATTGGTAAGAAACCCTATGTGTGTAAGCAGTGTAATAACGGATTTTCTAATCAGTGTTCATTTTGTAGACATATACTGACAAATACTGGGGAGAAACCCTATGCGTGTAAGGAATGTGGGAAAGCATTTAGTACACACAGATACTGTCAGATACATGAAAGAACTCACACAGGTGAGAAACCCTATACATGTAAGCAGTGTGGAAAAGGATTGGCCACTATGTCCTCATTTCGTATACACAGAAGAATCCACACTGGTGAGAAACCCTATGAATGTAAACAATGTGGGAAAGCATTCACTTCACCAGGTTCTTATAAACTACATGAGAGAAATCACACAGGAGAGAAACCCTATGTATGTCAGCAATGTGGGAAAGCATTCACTACACACAATCACTATAAAATACATGAAAGAAGTCACACTGGGGAGAAACCTTATGTATGTAAGCAGTGCGGGAAAGCTTTCAGTACACAAAGTTATTGTAAAATACATGAAAGAATTCATACTGGCGAGAAACCATATGTATGTAAGCAATGTGGGAAAGCATTCTCTACACGCAAATATATCAAAATACATGAAAGAAGTCACACTGGGTAGCAACTGTATGTATGTGGGCAGTGTGCGAAAAGATTTTGGTGGCATAAAAGAAGTCAAACCAGGGAGTAACTATGTATGTAAGAAATGGGAAAATATGTAGTTGACAAAGTATCAAATATGTGAAGGACATTACACTGGGGGGAAATCAAAAATTGTTCCAGAAAATATATTCCCAGATGGGAGCATATTCATTTTGTGTTTTTTTAGTAAATCACTTGTAACTGAACTATGTGTCAGTAGTCTGCTATAAAAAACTGAGTTGACAAATAATATATTTTTGTAACTGTGTGTCTTTTGAGGTTGACACATAGGGTCTTTTAATTAAATAAGGTAGATGAAAACACAATGTTTCAGTGGGATTTGTTTTTATATACTCTTCACAATTGGGAAGTAAAAAAAAATTTGTTAATATATTGGGATTTCCTACTAGCTTTGATTTAATTTGTTGTTGCATGCATTTTATATTTTGTGTAACAAAAATATGTTTGAGCTTGGTGTAAATATATGTATATTTTTATATGCATATATACATAAGGAGAGAGAGAGAGACTCACTTGTGAACATGTGTTTTGGACAAAATTCAGTTGTTTTCATACAGCTAGTAGAGAAGCAAAACATTATTTTCATATCCTGACAAGATAGCTGCATTATCCCAATATAATTGTATATTATATCAAGTACATAATTTTGATTATTCCAGTTATGTTTAAGGCAATATTACCATTTACCTACATTGTTAATGTTTTCTCATCAAATTTTACTTTTCTTGATCGCATTGTGATGACTTGAAATTTTGTGGCAATTTTTCCACTACTTGAACCAAAACATAAACCATACTGCCGTGAAATTCTGATTGCTACAAATCAAGATCACAACTTGTCTCTAAAAGGACGTTATAAATTGTAGTAATAAATCTCCAAAAAGCATAATAGTGATATGATTTACCAGTAACAATATTTTCAAAGGAATTTTGTTGGCAGTAGAGTTGTTTGAGCGGGAAAATGATTGTCATTGGATGTAATGAGGCAAATTCCTTTATTCCCTGATATCATGAGTGATATTGTTTTTGTTAATCAGTATTGCTTTTATCTAAGAAGGTGAAATGAAGGAAAATAAACATTCTGTTTAGTAAAAAGGGGAAGTTTACTAATACATGATTCAGATTGTGTCTTGTAATTTTACCAGTTTCATGATAGATTTATTCATTATCTGAGAATACCACTGTCTGTTGGCTGAGTATGTGAAAAATACTTTCAAATCCATAGCCTTAGACAGGGAATGAGCATGAGGCCCAACCCTGACTAAGACTTTTGCCTTTCTTTTTAATATTGAAACTGGGCATAGGGTGCACACCTATAATCCAAGGACTAGAGGCTGAGGGAGGAGGATTGCTGAGATTTCAAGGCTAAGCTGAGCTACATAGTGTGTTCGCAGGCAGACTGTAAAACATAGTGAGATTGTCTCAAAATAAAACAAAATAAATAATAAAATTAAATTTAACAGTGAAATATTTTATAAAATGTTTTATACAGTGGCTTTAAAAGAAAAACGCCATTTCTGATGGGAGAATGTAATAAAACTATGTTAATAAGTGCACAGGAATTAAAAAACCGTAATGCAGTGTATATTATATAGCTTGCTCTACTTTAATTGTGCTTAGACATAGATTACCAATTGGGTAATATCATTTAAATTATGTCTACTTTAACTCTGAAATATGTTATTTATGGAATGTAACATACTATAGAATAGAGTTAACTTTTTACAACCTAAACAGGGATGGGGAACTTTTTAGATATCTAGTGCCTAAACTGCAATCCAAAACCCACTTTTTATGGCAAGATGCCAACACTGCAGTTAAACGTGAATGCTTGGCTTTTGTGCTGGCAGAGAGGGCTTTGCGTGCCCCCTGTGACACACATGCCATAGTTTCACCACCACTACCCTAGAATGTGTACCTAACTTCCATGTGGCTCACTTCTGCTTCTCACAATCACCAGGAAGATATATAGTTCTATTGTTATTACTATTATAGCTGGTGATGGGATGTTGAAAATACAAGGCATTTTATCCTGAGCACATTTGTTCTTCCATTATTTTACGAGGAACAGAAAATCTTGCTCTTTCCAGTGATCCATGTCTATAATTCCACCTGGTCAGAAGGTAGAGATGAGAGGAAAATGAAATTGCAGGCTGTGTGCTGGCTGCTGGGGGAAGAACCAGACACCATCCTTTTCCTGTGAGTTGGTGCCAGTCATAGACTATGGAGGAGGAGAACCAGAAGCCAAGCCCTCCCTGTAAGTTGGCACCATATATGGGCTCCTGGGGTGAGAACCAGATGTCAGCCCCTTCCAACTTGAGGGCTGGGAGACAAGATGAATCAAGGTGTCCAACTCCCATGTAAGTGATTGGCTGGTGCATAGAAACACAGGTTGTATTGATAGCTAATGAGGTAAAATACAGCTTAATGCTTATAGTGTTTAGTGTTTCACTGACTTTGCAGGCTTAAAGCTGATAGTCCAGTCATCTATTAGAGGATAACAATATGCAGTATAGCATATTGGGGGACCTCCTTTTGAATGTAGTAGCCATTGTTAATTCCCTACTATCTTGTTTTGAAGTCCATAGTATCACTTGCATTGTTTGGTTGGGTTTTATTCTGAAGTTTTGCGGTTTGATTTTATTATATTCAATGGTGTGGGCAGCTATTTCAAAGATAACAAGACATACTATGATAGCCATTTTGGGTTTACTGTTTGTTTTGAAGTTCTTTATTGCATTCGTTGTTTTGTTTTTATTCTGTTCTGTTTTGTTTAATCTTTACTGTGTCTGAAGTTATGGGCAGCTATTTTGAAGACAAGAGGCATTATGGTAAGTATTGTTTTGAAGTCCTGTTTCACTTTACACTGTTTTGTTTTGATTGGGTTTATTCTGTTTTATTTTGGTTGATTTTATTGTCTTCAATATAAAAATTACTGACAGCATGCGCAAATTAGATCTTAAAAAAATTGCTCCCAGCATGCGAAAATTAGTGAGACATTTTCAAAACACACATGCATATCTGGAGATGTAGCTCAGTGATGTAGTACTAGATTTATTCTAGAGTGTCAAAATCATTTTAATATGAATGTTATATGTCAGTGTTTGCCCTTTTTTTACTTTACATGTGAAAGTCTTAAGTCAGATGTTTTGGTGCATTTCTGTAGTCCCAGCATCAGGAGAGGCTAAGACAAGACAAAATGTCTTTGAAATCTGTAGCGGGTGACTTGAGTAGTTGTCTTAGCAAAATATTTCATAATTCTTTTAATATTCTCATTTTAAATTTAAGGAACGATATGAATTTAAGTTCAAGTTTACATAGGTTGAATATAGAAGATTGCTATTGCAAATTAATTTTGTTGCTCAGGAAATACTCTTTTCATGATAGTATCCATATTTGTAGCCTTATATTGTACATAAGCCTGAATCATAGCCCAAATCACAATGAACACGAACAAGCCCAATGTTCTGTATTCTTAATATAGAGACATAAAATATTAGCTTTCCTGATACTTTACTGGCATTTTTGGTAAAAAATAATAATAATAATAATGTGTACCACAGCAAATGGGGTCACATAAAAAGTTAAAACTTCTGCACCTTTAATGAACAAACTACAGAATGAACAAATGACATTCAGATATGTGAAAAAATGTTACCAACTACTCAGAAGATGAATATCTGGAATAAGATGATTATCCTCAGAAGATGAATATCTGGAATAAGAACCTAAAAAAACCCTCAAACAATGTTCATCGTTTTGGGCATTAGAGAAGGACAAACTTAAGCAGCATCTTATTCTAGAAAAAACTTCTGTCATCAAAAACAAAAAAGTTCATGAATCTACAGAAAAAAGAGATCAGTCAGTGTTGATTATGGGAGTATAACCTAGTTCAATTACTATGAAATTCAGTATAGAGAATATTAAAAAAACTAAAAATATGAATTGCATTCAGTGTAGCTATTTGTTTTGTATTTCCTCCAAGCATTTAAAGAAATCATATTTAAGAGATACATGCATACTCGTGCTTTTAGCAGAAATTCTCTTGCTGTTGGTCAGCAACAGTGACCCCCACTGTCAGTCACTGGATACCAAGTATAAACAGCAAATATTCTTCAGTGTACTCTAATACATAGCATGTGATGTTTTATATTTTCTTATAAGACAGGCTCTAAGTTAGATTACTTTTCTTCACTACCAGTTACCGTAAAGTTGATAAGCACATTAATATAACAAGGGCTTAGTTATGCTCATTATCTTGAGTATATTAAATCCTTGTTCAATGTATCAGTCAGTGCTTACCAAAGAAATAGATTTAATACTAGATATACAAACATGTAACACTTACTGGCTTAATATGGTCACCACAAAATCAGATGTAAAAGAGCACAGAAGGTCTGTCCAGTACTACGGTCCAAAGGATCAAGTAAAAATCATGCAATGCACTATAATGTCCTATCTGAGTCTGTATCAGAAGGCCAAAAGATCTTTAATGAAAGGCTACATGCTCAATTCCAGAGGCTGAAGAGTCCTGGTAGAAGCAAGGAAACTCTTCAAAATGAAGACGAGGACTTCCGGGAGAACATGGCGGACAGATAACAGCAACTACCGGAGGCTCTCTGAAAGACTCGCCTCAGAAGCCAGGAATGGTGCGGACTGAGGAGACATAAGCAGGTGGAGATATGCTCTGCTGACTCAGGAACGAACTGGGCTGAGAGAAACCAACTTGGAATGCAGTCCTGGTGCTAAAACAGGAACAGAAAAGCCTCGGTGTGGAGGCTGGACCCCGTGCCATTGTAAGCCGCGATTTGGGTTTCCCGCCGCGTGGCGGCTGGTTGCCTCTACAGTGGCTTGGCAAGGAGAGAGACACGCAGAAGCTCTGAGAACGGCAATCTGCGAACGGCAGGGAGGCGTGCACTGACTTATGGTGAGGTGAGTGAGAGAAACTGACACTCTACCACAGTTTGACTCCAGCAGAGGACTTTCTGGGCCCGAGCAGTCCTGCGGGAGCAGGGCGCGGTGGCGACTCCAGCCACACATCCCCCTCTTGGGCGGGATTGGTGAAAAGTGCCAGGCCTGCGTGACGCTGCCGGTGGACCTCGTAGGCTGTCCCAACCCAGATCCCAGAGCCTGACGGTGGCCGGGAAGGGAGACGCGTAGGCTGCCTGGTCTGTAACTCCCTGGTGCGCAGTGGTGAGCAGGAACACCTAACTGGCGCAATTCGATTAGGCTGTGGCTGACTGGGAGAGAAGCTGGGCCTCTTATATAAGCTTGCATATATAAGGAACAGAGAAGAAGAGGCAGCATGGGAAGAGGCAGCAACAAGAAAGGCTCCTCGGCCCCCAGTTCTGAGAAACAGGCAATAGCAGACACCGCACCAATACACATAAGGCACCATATAGAGAGCCTCATAGACCAATTCAGGAATGAAGTTATCAACGACCTTAAGCTAGAAGTATGCAGAATAGTTAGAGAAATGCTAAGCACCACCCAGGAAAAAACAGATGATGGAATGGAAGAACAGAAAAAGAGGGGAGAATTGTTTGATGGAGAAAACAGAGAAAGCATAGAGTACGTGAAGCAGGTTCTAAGGGACTACCAAGAAACTAAGAAGTCTATCCAAGACTGGCATAACAGCTTGAAAGAAACTAAGGACACACTATCTGAACTGGAGGGCAGACTTGTAATATGGGAGAATGAAATGAAAAACTTCTTAAAAATAACAAAGAAACAAACAGCAATAATACAAAGACAAGAAGATGATAAGAGGATCCATAACTTAAGGATTAAGAACATAAAAGAAGAAGTAGGGACACAAACAAGTGAACTACAAAAGCTACTCACAAATAATCCAGGAGAATTTTCCTAATTTAGCAAAAGGTAAAGATACTCAGATGTATGAGGCATACAGGACCCCAGCTACCTACAACCCAAACAGAGCAACACCCAGGCATATAATAATAAAAATTCCAGAAATTCAATACAAGAACAGAATATTAAAAGCTGTCAGAGACAAGAAACAGACCACTTACAAGGGAACACCCATCAGAATTACAGCAGATTTCTCTGCACAAACCATCAAATCACAAAGAGCGTGGGGGGAAATAATTCAAGCTT